GTTCTGGTAATATATCCAAAGTATGAGAGATAAAGTCTCACCAGCTAAGAAGCATTCTTACTGTACTTTTTTTGAACAAATTTGTTTGTTCTACCATTGGTGTTTTTTTTTTTTTTTTTAATATTCTTCTCAAACACCATAACTCAAATGCATCAATTCTTCTATGATCTTCCTTATTCACTGTCCAACTTTCACATGCATACTGAAAATTCCATGGTTTGGGTTAGGCACATCTTAATTCTCAAACTGACATCTTTGTTCTTGAACACTTTGAAGAGGTCTTGTACAGCAGATTTGTCCAATATAGTACATTATTTGTTTTCTTTCTTTTTAATGTTTTATTGTGAATTATGTGATAGCTTACATGGGAGAACATTACATTCATCCTATCACATATCGTCTCATTGCCATGGTTACAATCCCCTCCATGCATCATCAACCAACCAAAGGGTTATGCTTGCTTCATAAAATGTATTAGGAAGTTTTCCATCCTCCTCTATGTTCTGGAATAATTTGAGTAGAACTGGTGCAGCTCTTCCCTGTATGTTTGGTAGAACTCACCAGTGAAGCCATCTGGGCCTGTGCTTCTTTTGGTTGGGAGTTTTTTGATGACCTGATCAATTTCTTCTTTTGTTATGGGTCTGTTCAGGTTTTTTACTTCACTGTTTGTAAGTTTAGGTAGGTCGTGTTTATCTAAAAAAATGTATCCCTCTCTTCTTAGTTTTCAAATTTGTTGGAGTACAACTCTTCATAACTATTCTGTTGTTGTCCTTTTGGTTTCATTTGGTTCCATTGTGACATTGCCCATGTGGTTTCTAATGGGTGTTATTTCTGTTCTCCTTCTTTTCTTTTGTTAGGTTTGCCAGTGGTCTGTCAATTTTGTTAATTCTTTCAAAGAACCAGCTTCTTGTCCTGTTGATTCCTTCTATAGTTTTTCTGCTTTCTATCTCATTTATTTTTGCTCTAATCTTTATTATTTCTTTTCTTTTGGTGGTTGTAGGTTCCCTCTGTTGGTCTCTTTCTAATTGTTGTAGATGATGTGTTAATGTGTTAATTTTGGTTCTTTCTTCTTTTTGGATGTATGCATTTATTGCATTAAATTGTCCTCTCAGCACCGCTTTCGCTGTGTCCCAAAGCTTTTGGTATGTTGTGTTTTCGTTCTCATTTGTTTCTAGGAACTTTGTGAGTTCACGTTTAATTTCTTCTACTACCCATTCACTTTTCAGCAGGGTGTTATTCGGTTTCCATGTATTTGACTTGATTTCCTTGGTCTTCCTATTGTTGATTTCTAATTTGATAGCATTGTTGTCTGAGAAGATGCTTTGTAGTATTTTGATATTTGTAAATTTATGGAGATTTGTTTTGTGGCCTAAGGCATAGTTTATTCTGGAGAATGTTCCATGTGCACTGGAAAAGAATGTGTATTGTGCAGTTGTTGGGTTGAATGCTCTGTACACATCAATGAGGTCTATTTGGCTAATTGTGTTGTTTAGTTCTGTGTCTTTGTCAAGTTTCTTTCTGGTTGTTCTAACCATTTTTTAAATTGTAGATTCATCTATTTCTTTCTTGAAATCTATTAGAGTTTGCTTTGTATATGTTGGCGCTCTTTCCTTGAGAGCATAGATATTTATTATGGTTGCATTATCTTGTTCAATTGTCCCTTTAATCATGAGATAATGTCCATCTTTATCTATTATGCTCATTTTTGCCTTAAAGTTAATTTTATCAGAGATTAGTACTGCCACTCTTGTTCGTTTTTATTGCAATTAGCTTGGTAAAATTTTTTCCCATCCTTTGACTTTTAATCTGTTTTTGTCTCTGTGTGTGAGATGTGTCTCTTGAAGACAGTATATTGAAGGATCTTGTTTTCTTATCCATTCTGCCACTCTGTCTCTTAACAGGTTCACTTAATCCATTTACATTCTGTGTAATTATTGATAGGTATAGATTAATTGCTGCCATTATGTTTTTTGTTTTTTTTTTGTGGTGTTGCTGCTGTCTTTGTTCTGTGTGTCTTTCTTTGTTGAGTTCATGCTTTTTGTGTTCTTGCTTGTGAGTTTCCTCATATTTTTAATGTTTCCATGTTCTTCTTGGATTTTTTTTTTTTTTTTTTTTTTTTTTTTTTTGATTTTTTTTTTTTTTTTTTTTGGTATGTTGTGAATTATTACTTTTCTTTGAGCTTGCCTTATAATCCATTAACTTTTCTCTCCATTTAATGCAGTCTATTTTATCTTTTAATCTACCTGACCTTCTCACCATCTGGATCTCTGTTTACCTTCTTTTACATTGTAATTGTTTTGATCATAGACTGACCTCCCAGATTCTCTGAGTTTGTTCTCATAGTTTTGTTCTGTTTTTGATTCTTCCTTCTGTCAACTTAGTTCTGGGAGGTGCTGCCACTCATGTCAATCTCTGGTTGTTGTCTGTTCTTGTTGGTTCTCGGTCCACAGATCTTGGCTTTGGCAAGATCCCTTAGCTTCTGTTTATCCTGAAATGTTTTATTACACCATTATATTTGATTGATAGCTTTGGTGGATAAAGGATTCATGGTTGACAATATTTTTCTCTCAGGGTTTTTAAAATATATGTCTCCCCATTGCCTTCTTGCTTGCATGGTTTCTGCTGAGAGAGCTGAGCTTAATCTGACTTGCTTTCCTTTGTGTGGAACACTTCTGTTTTCCATAGCTGCTTTCAGAAGTGTCTCCTTATTTTTGATTTTGGAGAACTTGATTATGATATGTCTTGGTGGTTTTCTTTTGGGGTCTATCCTTCCTGGGGTTCATTGAGCTTCTTGAATGTTTATCTTTTCATTTTTCAGGATGTTAGAGAAGTTTTCTTCCAGAAGTACAACTATTTCTTCTGTGGACTTGTGTGATTCTTCTTGTTCTAAAATGCTGATAATTCTTAAGTTATTCCTCTTCAGGTTGTCCAACATGAATCTTAGACCTTCAGATTTTTTTTATCCTTTTTTCTGTTTGCTCTTTTATCTTAGTGGTATTGAGTGATTTGTCTTACAGCTCACTGGTTCTGCCTTCCATTTCTTCTGTTCTACTCCTTTGCCCTTTCAGAGTATTGTCTATTTCTAATATTATATTATTGATCATTTGGACCTCTTTTTGTAGGTTTTGAATTGTTTCCAATGCTATATCTATCTTATTTTATTGTTCCTGTAGCTTTTTCCTGACTTCTGTATTTTTCTCAACTCCATTGTAAAGTGTTTTGAAACATTTTGTAATCATTTTCATGAATTCCTTCTCAGGCATTTCCAAGGCCTGCCCTCCTTCCAGAATGGAGTTCAGGTCTACCTCTAGGCCATTTGCCTCAGATATTTTATCTTGTTTCTGGACATGTGCTGATACAGTCATCTGCTTTTGCTTCTTGGACATATTTAGTGTTTATCTGTGGCCTTAGTGCTTAATTGAGTATATGTTTTGGTATTTTTTATGCTTTCTGATTGCTTCCAGGTAGATGTGAGCAGGATGTGGGCTTCCCTTTTCAATCTTCTTATTACTTAAGTCAGAGTAACTTTCACAGGTGTTGTCTGCCTCCTTTGTATATGGCAGTTGGTATTGATTCTTGCCTGGGTTTTGATGTTTTATAGAGTGTGATTATAGCTTGACTATATGGCAGCAATTGCTGACTCTTCTTGGGTAATATAGGGAGAGATAGAGTGCCCCAAAGGTAGAAGGGGGAGCATAAAACAGCAAAACAGCACCAGCAAAAACAACAAACAAACAATAAAACAAAATTAGACTGAATACTGTAGTCTATAATCACAGCAAAGGGTGAGGAAGGAGAGAAGAAAAAATGTTATGAATAAAAAATTCTGTAGCCTAATATGAATATGACTTTAATGTTCTCTCTTCATCTTCTTGCTTTCAAAGCTGCGTGAGAGATTTCAAGTTGCCACTGTTGGTTTTTAATCTATACCTCAGGCTTTAATTTAATTCTCAGCCTGTTTTATTTTTAAACGCTCTTTCCCTCTCTACATCCCTGTCCTGGCCTTTACCGTATTTAAAAACAAAAACAAAAACTTGAAAGAGGTTTTAAGAAAACTGAGAACTGTACTTGTGGGGAATAGGACAGGAAATTTGCTCCAAGAAATCTTTTCTATTACAAAATGCACCTGTTCACTCTTTGAGGGTAACAAAGGTTGCTTTATGAAAATTTTGTTGGGTAACATCCCCCCATCCACGCTACATCTCTGATCTTACCCCTCAGATTTCTTTTCCCCGCTTCCCCAAAACTCAAAGAATATTTAAAAGGGACACAGCTTTTGAACCCAAAGGATGCCCAAACTGCTATTTTAATATGGTGCAAACCAATGAATGCAAAATTCTTCAGAGGAACATTTATAGACGTGCAAACACTACTTTCAGTGTGTATAGCACTACATGAAGGATATGTCAATAGCTAATATCTTCATGTTTTGATATTTTTGTTTAAAGGTTTCTATGATTTTTTAGTAATACTTTCCACTTAGCCTCATATTACCTGGGGATCATATTAAAATATAGATTCTGATCCAATATATCTAGGATGTGAACCAGTTTGAAACCCTGCACTGAACTCAAGAAAAACAAATGTAGTAGAAAACCAGACTTAGGAAGTTGTGAGATTCTCTCTGCTTATTCTATAGCACTTGACTGCTGCTCAATGTATCATTTAACTATTAAAATAGAGCGCTAAAGATGGGTTTAATAAATTTCTTCAGTGTATAGTATTACATATAAAGCATATTTACATGTATTATAAACATATTTTTTTCCTCCACGTCTACAAAGGCATGCAACAGTTTTAAAGTACACTGAGAGATTTTGTCTAGAAATAATAACTTCCTGTAAAAGAACCAGACAGTTTGAAATGGCTGTATAATCTTTATCTGATGGATACTTAGAACTAGGACTGGTGACTCAAGGTTAAAAATCAGTTCTATTCTACTTTGAGGCAGAGTTCAGATTAAAAGACCTCTTGAGATTTATTTCAGAGATTTGGGTTTATTAATAACTGTATGTTTTTCTCAGTAGGTGAACAATAGTGAAAATAAACATGTTTAAATTCTTATGATAAGACACCTCTACTACTCCTGAATGTGCAATTTCTGTGTTGATACTAAAATCAGATGATGAGTTTAATGGCTCTTTGCATTGAAACCAAGTACTGCTTTTCATCATTCGGGTAATATTCTTTGATTTTGGGTCATATTCAAATTGTCTGGATCCACGGGTGAAATAGAAGAATCCTAAAGAGAAACAATCATGATTAGTTCTCTTGTACAATGATACATTAGTCCTAAGATGTTCTTTAATTATTAACTTTGAGGGGAAGGCTGAAGAATTTTTTTATAAACAAACTATTTACTTCATGTGCTCAGTAATTTTCAAACTTAGAACTTTGTTGTTGTTGTTGTTAAGTGCCATCGAGTCGGTTCCGACCCATAGCGACCCTGTACAGGGTTTCCGAGGGTGTAAATCTTTACGGGAGTAGAAAGCCTCATCTTTCTCCCACGGAGCGGCTGGTAGTTTCGAACCGCTGGCCTTAAGGTTTGCAGCCCGATTCGTAACCACTACGCTACCAGAGCTCCTTTAGAACTTTGTAGAGGATGCCTTTTTGCAGTATCTTGAATCAATGATAAGTTAAAAAACAAAAATGTTTCCCACTTTTTATATAGATTTGGATTAGCATATAGCTAAGAGAATATAAAGTGTCCTTTTAGATCTTCTGACTGCCATTGTCAATTTAATCCCACATAGTTAAATCCTAAAAGAGCACAAGGTTCAAGGCAGACATTCTCCTATTGTTTTATTTTTCTGGGGAGAAAGTCAAACTGTGAAGAATGAATTGCAAGGGAAAATTATGCCAGAGGTTCTCAAAGTAGGTTTCAACAAAGTGCTTCAGTGAGGGGAAGGAGAAGGTTTGGCCTACATCCCCATTTTATTAGAGTCTCTGGTTTTATTTGTTTTCATTTTTGAGATTCTATGTTAAATTTCATTAGAATAAAAGAGTGTGTCATTCAAAAACATTTTTAGATTCCTAATTAAAGCCATGGTCTAGCCTCATGTCTGTGAAGATGAAGTAGCTATACTGTGTGCATTAGAAATTCCTATGATTATTTTAAAACTACAGGTTCTTGAGTCTCACCCACAATTCTACTGACTCAGAACACAAACTGTTCCAGATTGTGTCCTTAGTTACTTTTCACACTTAGAACATTTTGTGATGTTAATTATATCCAAATTTGATATTGCTGTCAGGATCAATGTTTATTATTATTTACATTTTAAGAGTAGTAAAATTACATTAAAATTAAAACTTTTACATGTGACTCTGTCTTCTTCATAGTCAACAGGCTCCCAGTGTCCCAGTAATTTAGGTATTTGTGCTTACCTTTATGCTGGAAAGCAGCATCGACTCGGAGACCAATTCCTGGAAAGAACTTTACCACCCTCCGTGGGTAGCCTTTGTCCATGGTTTGGGCCATCTCATCATACCTGGATAAATGGATTTGAAAGGTTTCCAGCAGATCTTTGTTTAGGGGAGCTTACTTCTTCTATTGCCTAGCTTGGAGTCAAGAACATATGGGGAGAATAAGCAGGACTAGCAGAGGAAAACGAATTGGGTCAATAAGAAATATATGACAAAGATTATGATTAATTAGATCATGTATATTGCTGCAAAACAAGAAATGATCTGACATAAAAGCTACATCATTTGTTAGGTTACTCCTATTCTGAAAAATTATTAAACCAAAGTGAGGACTTAGTTTAGAGGTTTCCTAGATTTTGACTGTGTCTGTGCATGACTGGCAATTCAGTTGGCATCAGCAGCTTTCTTATCTTTATTTTTTAAGTTGGAGAAAGGCACTTGGACTCATTGAAATATCTTTTGGTTTGGTAAATGTCATTCATCAAATGACATTTTAATGTTTTAATTTACATAAAAATAGCAAAAATAAACTCGAGATTAGTTTTCTTTTTGCCTGTGTTTCTGTGATGTTACGTAAGTATTTTCTCCTGAATAAAGTAAAAAGTAAATTCTCTATCAATTTACCTCCAGCACCAAATTCCCACAAAGAAATAGGTTTTTCTTGTGCTTTGGTCACAGACAGCTGCATCAATTTTCTTCACGTGTCTTGGAAAGCCAAAGGTATGGATGGATTTGGGATAATCTGGTAAAACAGCATATCCTCTGATCATCCAGAAATTGCCATCTAGGAAGAGAAAAAGTGGTTTACCTTCTGTTTTGTTTCTTAGAAGGAGAAATAGATGTTTTCATAAGTGTGGAAATAACTAGATGCCTAGTCCCTTTCAGCTACAATACTTAGAGATTTAATAATTTTGTGTTCCCATTTATTCCTACCACTTTCTTTGTATTTTTATCATTAATTTGATACAAATAATATAGACCTACAGTAAACAGTGGAGCCCTGGTGTGGCATTGCAGGTTAATGCACTGGACTGTAAGGTCAGTTTGAACCACAAGGTCGCAGTCCAAGCTCACCAGTCACTCCTCTGAAACCTAGTCTGGGTCGCTATGGGCCAGAACCGACTTGATGGCACTTAACAGCAACAACCTAGTTAACAATGTGCCTACCCTTGCCAACTGGTTTATCTGCATTGACTACTTTGAAATTGCCAACTTTGCCAAAACAGTCATGTATGTTTCAGCATGTTCTCCTGAAATTCAGCCCTCAAATGTTCTCAAAGGCAAGTAACCTAGTGAAATGCATGTTAAATATAGGATTTTTTTTTTTTTTTTCATAGTGACCCTGTGTAGGATTTCTAAGGAGTGGCTGGTGGGTTTGAACCACTGACCTTGTGGTTAGCAGTCCAGTGCTGATCTTACAGTGCCACACCAGGATTTGTTGTTGTTGTCAAGTGCCATAGAGTCAGTCCTGACTTATAGTGACCCTGTACATGGTTTCCGAGGAGAGGCTGGTAAGCTTAAACCATCAACCTGGCATTTCAAACTGACCTTTCAGTCCAGCACATTACCTGACAATGCCAAACCAGGATAGCTAGATACTGAATACCTAACTAATTTTGAATTTCAGATAAACAATTAATCATTTTGGGGGGGATAAATATTTCTAAAATATTGCATGTGACGTGCTCATAACAAAAGATGATTTGTTACTTACCTGAAATTCAAAGTATACTGTATTTATATCTGCCAAACCTGACAAACCTAGTATACAGGGAGCTTGACTATTTTTCAGTTTTTATGATACAGGTTTCTTTTAGCCCTGTGCAACCAGAATGGTGTTTATCTTCATGTTGCTATCGTTAAGTGCTGTGGAGTCGGTTCCAACTCATAACGACCTTGTATAGGATTTCAGAAGAGCCTCTTGTGAATTTGAACCACTGACCTTGCAGTTCAAACTGAGCTTGCAGTCCAGTGCTTATCCTACAATGCCACGCCAGAACTTTTCACAGCCCCAGAGACTTCCTAGATGCTTTGTCTTTATGACCGGAACCTAAGATCAGGGCAGAAAATCTGACCATTTGGCACATGTATGAAGATTATATTATTTGCACCAAAATACCTACAGGCCACTTGACACATCCTGAGAAAGAAAAGGAATCATAATGAGCAAAGTTACCTTTAAAAATCAGAATCTTATCTTTGGGGTTTTCATATGCAGCTTGAATATTTGCTGGCAGAGATGGCCAGAATGAAGCGATTAATTGAAATTCAATGTCAGTAGTATCGTAATAGATTCTCCACAGGTATCTGTGATAAACAGAAAACATTACACATGTACAGCCTGTGTTATTGTTGTTAAGAGTCATTGAGTTGGTTCCAACTCATAGTAATCCTGTATAGGGTTCAAAGGAGCAGCTGGTGGGTTTGAACCGAGGACCTGGTGATTAACAGTCCAGTACTTATTCTATAGTGCCACTCCATGATTTTGAACAGCCTATGGAGCTCTGGTAGTGTAGTGGTTACAAATCGGGCTGCAAATCTCATGGACAACAGTTCAAAACTACCAGCTGTTCCATGGGAGAAAGATGAGACTTTCTGCTCAAGATTTACAGCCTCGGAAATCCTATGAAGGGTTGCTATGAATCGGAACCAACTCCATGGCACATAACAATAACAACATATGTGTATATATTTCAATGAAGACATTGCAGTCTTAGGGTTGTCTTTTACTTAATCAGTTGATGCTTTCCTTAAATAATTTATAGATAATAATAATACAATTTCCCCTAGAAATTTTGGATGGTTTTGAGTTCAGTTCTTCCTTTAGACTATTGAGATTGGGAGCTATCTTTGCTCCTCCTCTCTTGGGTTCTTGGGGTAGGAAACTATCCACAGAAATATTGTAAATAATTCTGAGTGCCCAGAGACTTCATGCAGCCAAAGCAGCGATACCCAAGGCTAGAGGCATTCTAAGTTCTAAACAGAACATTTTATCCTATTACTTGCTGGAGTAAGAAATGATAGTTTTGAAGTGCCAAGAAACTTCCTCAACAGTCCCCTTCTGGCTATAAAATTTTATGCATCTGTGAATGAAATACGAAAAGTCCTATATTCCATGTCCCTTCCTATGTAGCCAAACTTTCTTTGATATCCCTGACAGGTGGTCTCTCAGCCTTGGCTGCTCTGAGCATGGCAGTGACCCCATGTAATTGCAGTGCTTGTATAGTAGAATAAGGGAGTCCTGGTGGCATAATGGGTTATGTGTTGAGCTGTTAACCACATGGTTGGTGCTTCAAATCCACCAAAGATGAGGCTTTCTGTTCTCGTAAAGATTTAAAGCCTAGAACACTAGACAGGGTTGCTATGAGTTGGAACCAACTTGACATCACATAACATATAACTAGATGGGTAGAAGGAGCCCAATTTCAAATATTCTTTCCTTTTTACCTATATATTTGTCAGATTGCATATGACCTAATAATTTATTTGGAAAATATGGTCATGGTATATTTATTAACTCACTATGCTGGAATATATATGTATGTCCAATAAATTATACATAGTGAAAAAAAAGAGTTCTTACTGTGCTTAATATTTATTGATGCAATATTAAGGAATTTTCAGCCATGTGTTGGCAAATGATTTCAAAAGATGAGTTTTAAAAAGAAACACACACAACAAAAAACTTGAGTTTACCTTTTGCCAATTTTCAGGGTATAAGCATGCTTCCCGTTTTCAGTTTCAAACTACCGGTATGACATCGATTGGTTTGCACAATCTCTGAAAATGTAATGATTGGCTCTTGAGCCAGGATGAACTTGTTCCAAAATAACACTAGGATTGATGCATCATTTTGGCCTAAAAGTCACTGGAAGTAGACTCTACTTATACATCTTATCCAATGATAATTTTTAATAAAGCATTTAAAAATAATAAACAGCATAAGAGATTTATATTTGTAGTAAAACACTCTAACAGTATTGTTGGTTTTAAGTGCCATCACGTCAGTTCCGACTCATAGCAACCCTGCATAGGGTTTCCGAGGAGTGGTTGGTATGTTTGAACTGTCCACCTTACAATTCAAACCAACCTTGTGCACACATTCTCATCGTTCATGTTGACTCCCTCCAAATTCCTTGAAAATAAAAATATTTATAGGAAGTTGAGATATTTAAGGGAATGGGTTTACCTGCCTTTAAAGAACATTATTTCTCTGCGGAAAGTGGTGATAGCATCAAAAGTCAAATCAGATTCACAGACATGGGGCACAGTGGTTTCCTTTGGCTTTGCAGACACCTTAGGTAAACCTCCTTTGATTTAAGAAAGAAAGAAATACCACAGTGAATTAATTAAGAAAACATGAGGAAACGCCCTACTGAAAGGATCTTACCCAACTGGTTATTTTCTTCATGACACTATTTCAAGAAGTGATTTTTCTCAATTTCCTTCCTGGAAGGCTTTATCTTTAGATTGTGTGTATTTAGATTTATCATTTTGCTCACCATAGATGGACTGAATTCCACTGATATCGTCTTGAGAAAGTGGGTATTTGCTAGGATCCATGGAGACGTAATTTGGAAACATCAACGCAGTTTGATCATTGGAGTGAGAAAGCCCCAGTGAATGACCAAATTCATGAGCAGCCACAAGGAACAAGCTGAATCCTTAACAAACACAAAGCAGGTGAAAGAAAAGCACATGAATCAGTTAAACGGAAGATGGTGCATCTGAATTATTGTTGGTGTTTCAGTGCCATCAAGTCAGTTCCAACTCATAGTGACCCTGTATAGGATTTCCGAAGAGCAACTGGTGGGTTTGAACCACCAACCTTGTGGGTTTATCCTAGTGACACACCAGGAGTCATATGATGTGTACGATTGTTGTTGTTGTTGTTAAGTGCCATCGAGTCGGGTCCGACCCATAGCGACCCTGTACAGGGTTTCCGAGGGTGTAAATCTTTACGGGAGTAGAAAGCCTCATCTTTCTCCCACGGAGCCGCTGGTAGTTTCGAACTGCTGGCCCTAAGGTTCGCATGTGTACGATATACATTATTAATTATTTGAAAAATATTCTAAGACTAATTGTTGGTATTGAGAGCATGGTGGTACTGTAGAATAAGCACTGGACTGCTAACTACAAGGTTGGCAGTTCAAGCCCACCAGTTGCTTTTTAGGAGGAAGATGAAGCTTTCTGCTCCCATAAAGATTTACAGCTTCAGAAACCTTATGTTGTTATTATGTGCCATGGAGTTGGTTGCCAACTCATAGCGACCCTGCATAGGGTTTCCAAGGCTATAAATCTTTATGGGAGCAGAAAGCCTCATCTTTCTCCCGCAGAACTGTTGGTAGTTTCAAACTGTTGACCGTGAGATTAGCAGCCCTATTCATAACCACGATGCTACCAGAGCTCCTTAGAAACTCTATACAGGGTCACTGTTAGTTAGAACCAACTCCACAGCGCTTAGCAACAACAATAATTGGTATTAGTCATATGTTGGTGAATTATAACCCAGAGAAAGCAAGTGATTGGAACCAGGTGTCTTAAAATGGATATTATATTTAAAAAAAAAACAGAATTCATTATTTTTGGTTGTTGCTGGGCTATATTATATGGAGTCACATTGTTCTTTGTTTCATAGGGTCCCCAGACATTCTCCACAAACTACAAGATTAAGTCCAAATATGATAACATCAACTTCCATGATTTGGTGGTGGTAGGGTGCTGTGGAGTCGGTTCCGACTCATAGCGACCCTGTACAGGGTTTCTGAGGCTGTAAATCTTTATGGGAGCAGAACACCTCATCTTTCTCTCGCGGAACAGCTGGCAGCTTCAAACTGCTGACCTTGAGGTTAGCAGCCTAATTTGTAATCACTATACTACCAGAGCTCCTTTTCCATGATTTAGACCCTGCCTTTTCTCAACCTTATATTTTATTGTCATATTCCATCAACTGGTGGTGGTTATGTGCTGTGGAGTCGGTTCTGACTCATAGCAACCCTGTATAGGGTTTCTGAGGCTGTAAATCTTTACGGGAGGAGATAGCCTCCTCTCTCTCCTGCGGAAAGGCTTGTAGTTTCAAACTGCTGACCTTGAGATTGGAAGGCTAACTCATAACCACCAACTGGTGGTAGTGGTTATGTGCTATGGAGTCGGAACTGACTCATAGTAACCCTGTACAGGGTTTCTGAGGCTGTAAATCTTTAAGGGAGCAGAAAGCCTCATCTTTCTCCTGAGAAACAGCTGGTAGTTTGGAACTGCTGACCTTACGGTTTGCAGCCCGATTCATAACCACTATGCTACCAGAGCTCCTTTTATTACCACCAACTAGCTACATTAAATCACTTGAAATTTTTCATCTGTGTCATGATAATTCTAATCTCTGTGTTTACAATTCCATTCCTTCTGCCTGGAATATTGTGTCTTCTACCTTTTCTTTGTCTAGCTTTCCTACTTATTGACTCTTGAGAGAACTCCTCTTAAGAGTCACTTTCTGTTTTGAGGCTTCCCTTATCTCCCTGTCTCCCATAAAGTCTGAGCTAAATAGCACTTCTCTGAGCTCCTATTCTGTCATATGACATAAGAAACTTCACTGATTATTTCTTTTATCAAGCTTTGTACCCTTGAGTACAGGTATGATGTCCTAATCATCTTTTATTTCTGGAAACTGATAAAATTACTGTTAGTAGTGGGTTGGATTAAGAGTTACAAATTTAGATGAAAGAATGATTAGAGACACCTACTTCACATGGCTGGAGTATCCTGTGCGTAACCATACTAGAAGTCTTGCCACACATCTTGGATCGCTTTTTAAATTTGTCTTTCCCACTGGTCTATATGGTTCTAAATATAAAGACTTTCCTTATAGACTTGAAACCATGTCCATGGAACATAAAGAAAAGACTGGGCCATTAACAGTTTTTACTATAATGAAAATACATACAGTGAAGGCTTACCCCAAATACTTTCATTTTAGAGAACAGCAAAGGATAGTTTTGTGGTTTTTGGTGCTTGTTTGCTCCGACCTCTTCTGCTGGCCCCTGTGTGGCTGTCTGTTTCACTGTGTGCACTTTTGGTTAAGAGACTGGACAAGTGAATCTTTAAAAATAACAATTCAAATGTAGGTCTTCTAAGTCAAGCCCAAGTCTTTATCCTGACTTTCAAGGCTCGCTACATTATGAGTTCTATTTGCTTTTCTGGCCTTCTCTTCCACTACAATTGTAGTAGTTGAATTCATCCGGGTTATTCTTTCCAGAACATTCTTATATTTTGCATGTTTAGCCTTCCAGTCTCAGCTTTGGGATTACTTCCTTTCTTGGCCTCTAGGTCTGGGTTGGTATTTTTTTCTAGGGGCTTCCATCTTGTTGCCATGGTTTCCTTTATCTTAGTATGTATGATGCTGGCTTTAATTGCCATATGATTATCTGTGTGTCTCCTAGACTGTAAACTCCTGGAGAATAGATCTATGTCTTGTATATTCTTACATCCTCTATTTTTTCCATCATAGATCTTGGGTCCTAGTAAAGTTTCAATAACTGACTATCAAATTATACCATTTACCAAATATTTGTGGCAGCAGTATTATAGGCCCTCAGATACTGCAGGGAAAAATTTGGCAAATCTCTGGTATCTTGGAGAGGTTTCTGGTTTCTTGATGATGTTTCAGTAGAGATACACTTGCACGTCATACATTTATACTTTTGTGGATCTTTTTCCCTCTGCTTGGAATACATCCATCTTAATCACCCTAACCATCGTCTCATCGTCCCTATGAACACTAATACTCACCAATACACTCAGTTCAAGCATTTTGAATCCACTCTGGGCAAGGGCTTTGTGAAGTGATTTCCCTGTTAGAGACAATTTGTGTCACTTCCCCACAAGAAGGGTGCTGTTATCTTCATTTTACAGATAAATAAACAGGGTACTAAGAAAACTGATGACCTTGATCAGAGTCTCTCAGCTATTAAATTTCCCCAAAATTTCCTATTAAAAATTCTACTTTGATCAGAGATTATATTTGCTTAATGTTCTATACTTTTATTTGCAAAAAGGAAGACATTTCCCCTTCAATACCCTGAGTAAACTAAGAGTTATTTAATTAGATGTGACCAAGGGCCCACGATTATTCCTGGGGGAATAATAATTGGAAAAGTTTTTTTTTTTTTTAATTGGTGCTTGATTCTACCCAAAACTTGGTTAAAGGCCATATTTATCCTCTGCCTTGGCCACTGAACTCTTCAGAATTTTTAAGAACACACCCACTCCAGTCTTCTTACAGGGGCTTGAAGCAGTGTGGGTGATAGTCATTAGCGCTGTTTTTATTTTTAGATGCTATCAAGTTGATTTTCAACTCAAAGATCACATGTGACAGACTAGAGTTGTTCCATAGAGTTTTCTATTCTGTAATCTTAATAGTGTGGTGTTGTGGGTTAATGAGCCAGACTGCAAAGCATTTGAACTGCAAGGTCGGTGGTTCAAGCTCACCACCTGCTTCTCAGAAACCCTATACAAGGTCGCTATGGGTTAGAATAGACTCGACGGCACTTCACAACAATCTTGATAGTGAGGTTGGTCCAGGATTGGGCAGTGTTTCGTTCTGCTGTGCATAAGGCCGCTATGAGTCGGTGCCGACTCGATGGCACCTAACAACAACAACAATATTGTTGGTTTTTTCCCACAGAGTCACCTGGTGGGTTTGCACCACCAACCTTTCTGTGAGCAGTCAGCCATTCAACTGTTGTGCCAACAGAGACAAAAGGGTGGTGAAATCTTTGAGATCTACCTCTGGATATGAAAGCAAAATCTGGTCAAGCAAAGGGAGTCAACCTGCTTTTTGCTAGGCCTCAGGATATCTCTTATAACTTCCTGCTAGAGCATATCCTTTAGATCAAGTCCAAAGAAATATTGGGACATGACTCAGCAGAATATATACAACAAGTATGTCTATTTGAGTCCTCCTTTATTTGAATGGCAATGTTATCCCATAGCCTTTATTCTCTTATCTGCTTGTGATGTTAAGTCATGTGGTAATTACAGCAACCAATCCCAGATTTCCCCTGGTGCTGGAAGACCAGCCAGTAGCTGCTATTTTTCTCCTTCCTTGCTCATTAGCACTTGGAAGAAAAAAATGGCCTCATAACCCTGTGCAGGGTCGCTATGGGTCGGAACTGATTCAACAGCACTTAACAACAACATGCTCAGACGAAGCTATCAGTGACCATGGACTACTTTCAATTGCAGGTTTGAGGGCCTTCTCTTTTACTGGCCCAATAAAACTAAAACTAAATAAAACCACAACAGTAGAAACGTCCTAGAGTTATTTAGCAGCACTGAACTATGGTCCGTGTGCTACCTGTCAGCAGAGCTATAGCCTCTGCTTTCTGGGAATTCTAGAAGCTAGAAGCCAGGCGCAAGATAGCTATCAGTAATAGAAGAAAAAGAGGGTTTGGGGGAGAATCCAAGAATTTGGATTGAGTCTGATACTCTGATGTATACACTGTTACCGTAGTGAAGTTTATTTTTTATTATTTGTTAAGTAACAAGGCATCTTTTATTCAAGTGCCAATAAAGTCTATTAGGAGTCGTGTGGCACTGTGGGTTACTGTGCAGGACTGCAAAGTCTGTGAGCCGCAAGATTGATGGTTTAAGCTCACCAGCCTGTCTTCGGAAACCCTGTACAGGGTCGCTATGAGTCAGAACCGATTCGATGGCTCTTAACAACAAAGTCCATTAAGAAAAAAATAAAACCTCATATTAGTAAGTCAAAGGATAGGATCTAATTCCCTAGCAGATGGACAAAAGTTAGAAAAGGAAGTTTATGCTTTGAAATAGACTCTTTATGTACTGAATTTACCCATCATCCTTTTTGAGTTTTGCTAACTCAAAACTGTTACACTCCTCAAATCACAAATGACTTCTAAAACTGGTCCAATAATAAACATGTTCTGCCTTGTATGGTATATTTACACCACACAAAATCATGAATGTTGTTAAGGACTGGAAAATTTCTAGTATGTTGTATAGTTCCAGGAATACAGTGGACCTTATACAGGAATGTGTAAGTAAGTGAAGAATACTCTGGTCCTAAGAGATTAACAGCTTTGTGAAGCTGTTGTATGAATAAGGCTCTGAACTACATAAATACAATTATCTGAATATGTATTAAACACATTAATGATGTCATTATTATGGACTGAATTGTATCCACCCCCTGTGAAGAAATGTGGAAGGCCTAACCCCTGTACTTGGAAATACAAATGTGCTCCTGTTTAGAAACAGTGCTTATGTTTTATTAAGCTCATGAGGCTATGTGGAGAGGAGGGTGGGTCTTAAACCTAAATACCTTCTGAATGGTGTTTTATTAAAAGACCAGAATAGACACAGAGACAGAGACTACACCATGGGAAGGAGACAAGGTAAAGATGGAGACAGATTAGACTACAAATCCAGGTGGCTGGCAGCTGCAATAACAGCTAAAAGAAACAAAGACGCACCTTCTCCTAGAGGTGACATCCTGAATTCAGACTTCGAGCCTACAGGATTGTGAATTTCTGTTCTTTAGAGAGGTCACTTGTTATGGCAGGCCTAGGTGTCTAAGACAGTCATCTTGAAATATGGACAACTATGGGGGAAGTTTAGAAGGTAAAAGAAACTGATGCAAAACTATTCTTCTCATGGATTTCAGAATAATAAAATTTGTTGATAGAAGTAATTGGACTCACCTTCTCCATCTTTGGTCCAGTTTTCATCCTCATCAAAGTGAGTGTCTCCTCCCAGACCTGGACCAGGAGGAAAGGCATGGCCGAGAACCCCCAAGGGGCCATCAAAATACCGAGGGCACCAACCGTGGACTGAGATACAATTCATGGGGGGGAAAAAGAATCAGCAACTTCAATCTCGTTAAGATGAACAGATACTTTCTGCTCTGTTGCACATTTTACCTCTGGTCCTAAAGGCAATCATGATGTCTGCAATCCCTTTGGAAATCTTGGTAAATATCAGGGGTGTCACCTTGCTCCACACTTCTAATGCTTTCTGGATAGCTTCATCCACATCACCTTGGGCCATATCTGGAGTGTAGTTCATTATTCTTAAAAAATTAAATAAAACATTTAATAAAATCGCACGAATGGCTGGTTATGTATACATGTATAACACATACTAAGAAAATAAAATCAATTCAGATTTATTAATGATGCGCTGAGGTAACTTTTGGAATGATGTCATTATCTTACATTTGTGCATCTTTATGGAAGCTGGCTGCCTCATCTTTCTCAAACCACTGACCTTGTGGTTAGCAACCCAGCACTTATCCCAATGTGCCACCAGGGATGCTATTACAGTTGAATTTGTTGTTGTTGTTGTTGTTAAGTGCCATTTAGTCAGTTCCGACCCATAGCGGCCCTGTATAGAGTTTCCAAGGAGCAACTGCATAGTACTTTAATATTTAAATAAAGCGTGTTTACATATGCTATATAATTCACTGAACCCTGGTGTAGCACTGTAGGTTAATGCGTTGGACTGCAAGGTTGGCTTAAACTGCAAGGTTGGTGGTTCAAGCTCATCAGCCACTCCTCGGAAACCCTATACAGCGTTACTATGAGTTGGAACCAACTGAACGGCACTTAACAAAAACAACAACAACATAAAATTCACTGCTTTCAGATCTCTGGTAATTAATAAATGAGGGTCAAAGAGGTTAAATGATATCCCTAAGATTGTCCCATATGTTGTTGTTATGTGCCATGGAGTCAATTCCGACTCATAGCGACCCTGTACAGGATTTCTGAGGCTATAAATGAGAAAGCCTCATTTACAGCCTCATCTTACCAGCTGGTAGCTTCAAACTGCTGACCTTGCTGTTCGCAGCCCGATTCCTAGCCACTACACTACCAGAGCTCCTTGTCCCTATGTAGAAGAAGGTTAATCTCATGTATGCATTTGCTGTGTGGGCTGTTCTGTGGTTGTATGCCATGGAGTTGGTTTTAACTCACAACAACCTTTCATAGCGTTTCCAAGGCTGTAAATCTTTATGGGAGTAGAAAGCCTCATCCATCTCCCATGGATGGCTAATAGTTTCGAACTGCTGACCTTGAGATAAGCAGCCAACTCATAACCATTAAGTTACTGTATATGGCTATATTATAAAAACATTCAATAAAGAATTGAGATTTATTTATTGAATGGTTTATGGAAATTGTTTGTTGTTGTTAAGTAAAGTCATATTGGTTCCTACTCATAATGTTCCTATATAGGGGTTTCTGTGGAGCAGCTGGTGAATTTGAACTGCCAACCTTGCAGTCCAGTGCATTAACCCACAGTGCTACACCAGGATTCCGGAAATTAGTTATGTGCATATATCATATATTAAAATTCTCTCATGAGAGTTACAAAGTATTCAGGAAGAGGTTTATCTCCTTTTCTGACTTACAATGCCACTGCATAGGGAAGAGAAAAACTGCTCCAGGTTTTTATGTGGAACAGTTGGTGGGTTGGAACTGCTGACCTTGTGGTTAGCAGTTGAGCACTTAACCCACTACACCACCAGGGCTCCCTAACTCTGGACTCAGAGCAGTAAATCACTTTTGCTACAATGTCTCTGTGCTTAGGGCAGCAATAACACTAGTTGGTTAGGAGGATGGAGTAAATGAATGAAATAAATGCATTTTTTCCCGGTTTTTGCTTTTCTTTAATTGGCGGAAGCATTACCTGTATGTGAGGTTGTGTTTTCTCCACCCAGGAAAAGTGTAGCCATACTGACCAACATCAGGCACCCCACACCTGGGTTTCTTCATGATCTCAAGAGTGTTTGAGTCCAGTTTTCCAGTCACAGTTAACCCAAAAAATGCTTGCATTTCTCGAAACTTGCCACCTATAAGACTTCTGTTCTTGCTCTGAATGAGATGACTTCCTTCTATTTCTGGAGAGTAGAACTGGTTGAGATATGCCTGATAAAAACAAAAGCATAGACTATAGGAGAGCAAAACTGCCATCTCGGGAGAAAACAAAATTGCCTGAAATTCTCTTTGGCAGTGGTGGTGATTGTGTATCACTGAGTCAGTTCCAACGCATATAGACTCTTTATAGGGTTTTGGGGGCTGTAAATTATTATGGGAGCAGACAGTCTCATCTTTCTCCCACAGAGCGACTGGTAGTTTCAAACTAATGACCTTGTGGTTTCCAGCCAGCTTGTAGTAGAGAGGTAAAAAGGATATAAGGAATGAGGGACTGGAACAAGTGAGAGAGGAAAGAAGAAAGGAAACAAAAAGGAAGAAAAGTCATCCTGCTCATTCATTTTTTCAAAAAGCTTTTATTGTGAATTAAATGATAGTTTACATGGAAGAACATGGGTTTTGCACTCATCGTATTTCATTTCATTGCAATGATTACAGTCCCTTCCATGCATCATCATTCAACAGTATTTGCTTCTATTCCCTTTGTTTGTTTGTTTGTTTTGTTTTGATATACACAAAAACATGCAAGAATATATAATCATTTAAACAACCTAAGGGCACATTCTGTAAGCCTGCCTTTTGGACACCAGCACAAAGTCTTCTCTTTCCTTGAATCTAGAGTCCTCAGCTGCTCTATCTCTCCAGGTCACCATCTCTGCCTCCATCTCTGGTGTCATTGCTTCTCTGGATAAGGTCCCACATTCTACTCATGATCTTCTCCCTTAATGGTCCTAGGGGCGTCTGTTCCTGGAATGTAAGATTAACTACTCCCCCCTTTTGTAACTTATGTTACAAAACTTTTACCTTTACAGTTGTGACCATCGCAATTAGTCATAATAACAATTAATCACTATTGAATCTTAAGAATCTTATCCCCATCTCCTTTCACTAGGCCCATCTAGTTAGTCAATGTGAAAATTATTCAGTGGGGACTCTACCTTACCCCACACACTCTGAAACTAAACTTCTTGAAAACTCATAAACTAGCCACTTTGTGCCTTTATACCCACCTGCCCTCCCCCATGTTCAATTTTTAAGAACTAGTAAAAACTATGTGTGACCAGAATTAGGTGTGACACATCCCACAAAACTCAAAACCCTCTACAGAAGAAAGTCAAGCTTCAACATGTTAAATGATGATATGGTTTACATATTTTTGCTATTACTTTTCATTGTGGTGTTTCTTTGAAACACATTCTAGAAGACATAGGTGATTATCCATTTAAAATATTAAGTTGGTTTGTTGTAGAGAAGAATCCACTTAGACTGTAAAACTTGAATTTGAGATAATATATTCAGAGGAAGAATAATTCACACCTGTAGACATCAGTCTACACAAGTGAGAACTGCTAACTTCAACTAAAATTTTCTCACAGAGATTGATATCCTTTGTGAAACAAAGACATTATAAAACAGTCATTTGGTTAATTTTTGGTTGTAGTCACAAGTAGGATAGGATGGGGTGGGGAACAGGCTTCTATTGGATGATTGGATATAAAGAGTTAACAGAATGAGCTCAGAAATGAATTATAGGTGTCTACAATCATTTTCATAGTTTTCAGATGGGATCATAAAACATCACTGGTGGAGTTCACATAATCTTAATCAGATATCTCAGGAGTGTGTGAAGATGAATCTTGGTTCTAGGGTCTCATTACCTGAATCTAGTTAGTCAAAGCTCTTAGGTGGTCTAGGAAAGTTCAGATCAGTCTGGTTTCAAGACCCTTTCAAAGAATTATCTTATTATGTCATTGTATTGAATAAATATTCCTTGGCTCACTTCATACAAAGGCAATTGTGTTAAGATTCCTTTCCTTAGAGTGTATATCCTTCACAATCTAACTAAATCAGAGTGATAAATCACCTTCTCAGTTTTATAGCTCCCAGCAATGAGCATATCCAGATAATAGGAGTTTGCAAGAAAACAAATATTTAGTTCCAGACAGGCAGGCAGTTGAATAAAAAGAGCAGCCTAATTTAACAAAATCTGAGTTAAAATTTAATCATGCAAATTTAGTCAAAAAAGCTTTATGAATTCCTTCTAGATAGGTTTAACACATTTAATTGGCAACTTAAATAGGCAAATAACTTGGATGATTTCTGAGGAAATCTCCAAAAGGATATATTTTTCACTCATCTAAGGATGTTGCTATTCTCAGGTGCCATTGAACTGATTTAGATTCATAATGACCCTATGTAACAGAGTAGAACTGCCTTATAGGATCTTATAGGGAGTCCTGGTGTAGCGCTGTGGGTTAATGTGCCAGACTGTAAAGCCGTTTGAACTGTTAGGTTGGTGGTTCAAGCTTACCAGCCACGCTGGGTCAGAATTGACTCAACAGTACTTAACAGCAACAACAACAATCTTTATGGAGTCCTGGTGTGGCACTGTGGGTTAATGCGCTGGACTGCAAAGTCATTTGAACCACAGATCACGGTTCAAGCTCACCAGCCGCTCCTTGGAAACCCTATACAGGGTCGCCATGGGTTGGAACAGACTCAATGGCACTTAACAACAAAAACAGCAACAATCTTTATGGGGGAGTCCTGGTGTGGCACTATAAGATAAGCACAGGACTGCTAACCACAAGGTTGGTAGTTCAAACCCACTAGCTCTTATTCAGAAACCCTGTACAGGGTTGCTATGAGTCAGAATTGACTCTATGGCACTTAACAACAACAGCAATCTTTGTGAGGGAGTCCTGGTGTAGTGCTGTAGGATAAGCACTGGGCTGCTAACCACAAGATTGGCAGATCAAACCCACCAGCCACTCTTCAGAGACAATATAGAAGGTCACAATGAGTTAAAGCCCAATCTACAGCATTTAATAACAACAATCTTTACTGGATTGTTGGTTTTTGTCCTGAGGAACCAGTAGGTGGTCTTAAACTATCCCAAACCACAGATTAGGTCTTACTGGTTGAAATGTTTTTGTAGAGATCTCCATTTCTATTCAGGCTGTCCCTTTTCTCCTCTCGCTATCGTTCACTTGTACGCATTGCTTAGAGTTGTAGCAAATCCTGTCCTCCTCATGTTCCCCCCTCCATCTTCTACCTCACATACAGTTCCTTGATGTCTTTAGAGCTGAAAAAAGGAAAACTTCTTACAATAAAGTTCAGCACTCTTTTGTAAGGAACTGCAGTCTTTTGAGGTCAAAAAGTCATTGATAAAATAAATGTATTGCTTGTTCAGGCATAGTATTTATTGAGACAGTACCTGAGCCAGTTGCATGCTTTCTTCATTATCCAATTTTTGCTCTGTTGGAAACGCAGACGAAAATGTTACAAAGAACAAAAGTAGAAATGGAAGTCTCTTCATTCCTTTTTCTCTTCGGTTGAAGCCTGATTCTGTATAAACAAAATTTAGAAAAATAATAGTGAGACGTGGCATGAGTTGGCTTGTATTAACATTTAATTAATAACAGAAAACAGCTTTTGCCATAAACTGTGCCGCAATATGCTTCTCGTTTTCTTTCCTGGATTGACTTGATTTTTCATCATATCTGCAATTATTCTGTAAACACAGTCATTTTTCATCATTTAGTTTAATGAAGTGAGCCTCCAAATTACTGTTGTCCTTGCAAAGTTGGAGATTTTTGGATCCTTAAATACTTAAGAGTTTATAAAATGATTTTCTTTTGAATGAAACCTCTAAATAGCTCTGTAGTATAGTGACCCCTGAGTCAGAAATTGGATACCCTAATTAGTTAAATCATCAAATGTCTTTTGAGCACCTGCCATCTGACCATCATTATGAATACAAGCATGGATAAGTTACCTTACTGATCTTGTTGGAAAAATACAGACATAAACAGTTAAGTGTTTATCTGTTTGCATTAATGCTAGGCAGGAATCCCTGGTTGGTTGGTGCAAATGAGTAACCCCCTCAACTTCTAATCAAAAGCTCCCCAGAAGAAAATCTGACGATATGCTTCCAAAAGATCACAGCCTTGAAAAGCCTATGGAGTACAGTTCTACTCCGACACATGTGCGGCTGCCATGCATCGAAATCCTCTGGATGCCAACTGGTAATGCAAGATAAAATACAGGCAAGTGGCAAAATACACAGTACCATTGATAAAAACAAGCAAACCCAAAAGGCGATGATCACTGTTGTTGGGAGTGGCTGATAAAACTCCCAGCAGATGTGTAAACTGGATATTGATGCATGGGTAAAATGTGCATAGGAAGGGAGAGGAAGTGTGAGTAGAGGGTGACAAAGGAAGTGGGGACTAAAGCAGAAATTAATATAGAGTGATAGGAAACCTGACCTAACTGGAGTAAAGTATGTATAGATAGCAATGTGAGATAGGGATGGCTTGTAAAAAAAAAAAAAAGTAGGAGAGATTGTGAAGAGGGAATTGTCCAGACATTAGAATGATAAGGAAATCAAGGATAGCTGGCTGATACCAGAAGCTGGGAGTGAAATGTGGAACAGATGCTCCCTCAGAGCCCTCAGAAGGAATCAACCCTGCAGCATCTTAATTTTTGATACTGGGACTTCTGGTGAGGAGCTGTAGGATAAACACCGGACTGTGAACCAAAAACTCAGCAGTTCGGACTCACCAGCTGCTCTTCAGAAACCACGTACAGGGACTCGAGTTGGAATCGATTTAAAAACAACAGCTCCAGAATTATTATGAGACAATACATTTTTGACATTTCAAACCACTCAGTTTCTATTATGACATTATGGCAGACCCAGGAAACTAACATAGAGTGGAAAGAGATAGATGTTTTGAATCTTGATTGATAGTGTGACTGGGTATACAATTTCAGGCTGAAATAAAATTTCCTTAAAATTTTGAAGATAGTCTTCTATTGCTTACCAGAATCTAACATTGCTATTGAAACATATTTTATTCTGTTCTTGATATTTTAAACGTTTGGTCTGAAAAGTTTTAGAAATCACTTTACTCAGTTTGTAGAAGAGAATTTGGCCTTGCCCCAAAGAGATCTTGTCTCTACCCTTGACTTCTGGGAAGTAAGCAATATCATACTGGATAGGAGTGTGTTTGTTTTTTGAGGGAGGTTTAGCCATACTCTGTGGTCTTAGGGTGTGAGTTGACTGCACCAGAAATAGCAACCAGATGATTTAGGATAGGGGCTTTGAGTTACTTGCTGTCAGTTGACCTAAAGGCTGAGACCAACCACTTAGGTAATCCATCAATTATGTTGAAATAACAGATTCCCAGTAAAAACTTTCAACACTGAGCTTCCCTGGAGGGCAATTTTCCATGCCAATTGTCACACATTGATTCCAAGAGAGTAATACATCCTGACTCCACATGGGGAGAATACAATGGAAGCTCTGAATTTGGAACGCTCCTGGAGTCTAACCTATTTGCCTCTTTGTTGATATTAATCTATATCCTTTTATTGCGTTGAGTCAGTACCAACTCATAGCAACCCTGTATAGGGTTTATGAGGAGTAGCTGGTGGGTTTGAACTACTGACCCTGTGGTTTACAGTCCAGTGCTGGTCCTACAGTGCCACACTAGGAGTCCTAAGTAACCTAATTCTCTTTGGTCAAGTATAACAAGATAAACCTCAAATGTTGTTGTTGTTGTTATGTGCTGTGGCGTCAGTTCCGACTCATAGCGACCCTGTACAGGATTTCTGAGGCTGTAAATCTTTACGGGAGCAGAAAGCCTCATCTTTCTCCCGTGGAACAGCAGGTAGTTTCAAACTATTGATCTTGCAGCTTGCAGCCCAGTTCATAACCACTACGCTACCAGAGATCCTTAAACCTCAAACAGCAGATGCTAAATAAAATGAGCATTTATTCATCCCTCACATAAAACAAATGCAGATTTGGCAATTCGAGTTGGTATGATAACTCTATGTCATGAAGGATGCAGGTAACATTTAGCATATTGCACCACTATCTAAGTGCATTGCCTCATGGTTCAGGGGAGGTCTTCTAAAGTCCTTGTTATTGTATCTGTATTACAGATAGCAGGAAGGAGGAAGGCAGAAAAGAAGAAAATCCCTAGTCTTTTTCCAGAGAAACCACACAACATTGTGCTTATATATTTTTGTCAAGAACTTAAACACGTTTAGCTGTAGGGAGACCACAGAATATTGCCTTTCAGGTAAACGCATAGCTACCATGAAGTAAAGGCTTTCTCTTAGTAGAGGAGGAAAGGAGAATGGATATTAGTGTAGGTGTAATAGCTAGGGTTCTGTGCCAACTCAACTAGGCCAGGATTTACAAAGGTTTAATAGTTGGGATATGTTTATTCCTATGATGATAAAACTGAATACAGGTATAGTTAACTTTATGATGAGCAGCTATGAACAGTCGATCAATTAAAGGTATGCTTCCTTGGGGGTGTGGCCTGTTCCAATATAATGGACACCTGGGATGGCCTATTTCTTCCTCTGGGGACCTGGGATTCTACAATTGTAAGATGATAAACTTCTCTTTAAATATATACATATATATGCTTCACTGGTTTTACTTCTCTAGAAAACTGGGCCTAAGACATGCGGTACCCAGAGAGTGGGGTTCCAGAGAAACAAAATCATGAGGATGAGTTTTCTAAATTTGTACTCAAATCTGATTAATCTTAAAGGCACTGATATGGGGAATTGATGGAATAAAAATTGAAATCTTTCAAGAAAGTGTGGTGGCACTGGAGGCACTCACTCATCTAATTCAAGAAATTTGGAAGACAACTATCTGGCCAACTAATTGGAAGAGATCCATATTTATGCCCATTCCAAAGAGAGGTGACCCAATGAAATGCGGAAATCATTGGACAATATCTTTGATATCCCACGCAATTAAAGTTTTACTAAAGGTAATACAGAAATGACTGCAACCATACATCAACAGAGAACTTCCAGAGGTTCAAGTCGGATTCAGAAGAGGATGTAGAACAAGGGATATCATTGCTAACATCAGATGGATCTTGGCTGAAAGCAGAGAATACCAAAAAGATGTATACTTGTGCTTTATTGACTAAGCAAAGTCTTTTTATTGTGTGGATCATGACAAGCTATGGACAACATTGAGAAGTATGAGTATTCCAGAACACTTAATTGTGCTCATGAGGAATCTGCATATGGACCAAGAGGCAGTTGTTCAAACAGAATGAGGAAACACTGAATGTTTTAAAATTAAGACAGGTGTGTGACAAGATTATATTCTTTCACCATACTTATTCAATTTGTATGCTAAGAAAATAATCTGTGAAGCTGGGTTATATGAAGAAAAACATGGCATCAGGATTGGAGGAAGACTCATTAACAACCTGCGATATGCTGATGATACAATCTTGCTTGCTGAAAGCGAAGAGGACTTAAAATATTGACTGATGAAGATCAAAGATGACAGCCTTCGATATGGATTGCAAAGAAAACAAAAATCCTCACCACTGGACCAATAAACAACATTCTTATCAATTGAAAAAAGATTGAAGTTGTCAAGGGCGTCATTCTTTCTTGGATCAACCATCAACACTCATGGAAACAACAGTCAAGAAATCAAACAACGTATTGTATTAAGTAAATCTGCTGCACAAGACCTCTTTTAAAGTGTTAAAGAGCAAAGATGACAGCTTGAGGACTAAGGTGCACCAAGCCGTGGTATTTTCAATAACCTCATATGCATGCGAAAGCTTGACTGTAAATAAGGAAGTCCATAGAAGAATTGATGCATTTGAGTTATGGTATTGGAGGAGAATATTGAAAGTACCGTGGGCTGCCAAAAGAACAAACAGATCTGTTGAAAGAAGTTCAGCCAGAGTGCTCCTTGGAGGCCAGGATGGCCAAACTTTGTCTCTCATACTTTGGACATATTGTCAGGTGGGACCAGTCACTGGAGAAGGATATCATGTTTGGTAAAATGAAGGGTCAGAGAAAAAGAGGAAAACCCCCAGTGAGATGGATTGGCCAAGTGGCAGCATCAATGAGCTCAAGCTTGGCAAGAATTGTGAGGTTGCCCCAGTGTTTCATTCTAGTTTGACTCCTGGGGGGAGAGGATTGGTTTCACTCAGTAATCTGATTAACATTCTAGTTTGACTCCTGTGGGGAAAGGATTGGTCCCATTCAGTAACCTGATTAACATTTTAGCTTGTCTCCTGGGTGGAGAGGGCAGTGAATGTTTTTACCTTTTCCTGTTCACCACTACCAACAGAACTAAAAAGGATCACATTAGAAGGTCCTGGTTGGAGTGAGATAAAATGTGGACAAAACTCAAAATTATTTAAAAACAAAAAAGGCCAGAGTTACTTGTCAGAAAGAGAATGGAGGAACCTTAGACTATGGCCTTCGACCACCCTTCAGGTCTGGAATGGAACTCACCCTTGTGGC